CAGCTGATCGATGTTTCTCTCTCATCGATGTTTCTAACTCTCTATCTCTCTCCCTTCCTCTCTGTAAAAAATCAATAAAATATATATATATTTTTTAAAAAGATGCCTTTTAGCTGTCTGGCAGCCAGCACAATCAATTTAATGTATTCTATTCAGGTTTGGGGCAATGCCTTCAGCTATTCCCAGATGCAGCCTTGCTGTCGTGCTGGAATTGGTCTCCGGCATCAGAGCAATGTCCACTTTCAAGTAGGACATGTTATAGGGCAATATATATTTTACTGGTCAAATTGTCCCCAGTTTACCTGATATGGAGGGCCTTTTTTTTGAAATCAGTAATGCCCACATTTTATATGTCTTTAGAACTAAATGAATCAAAAGGGGAAATGATGATTTTAAAGAAACCTTCCAAGAAGAAACTAATCTTGATAGTGACCAAACATTTGTCAACCATCTTTTCTTATTATTAAGAAGAACCTAAGAGAAGGCTTAACAGGGGAACCACCCTATTCAGAATGGCCCCAAAAGTCCAGAGATTTGTAAAAATTCTTCTATCGGCTTGCTACATGAAAGGGCGAGGACTACGCCCTCCATCTTACCCTAGATCCTCCATTTTTGGGCAGCCATGTGCTCGGCAAGGCTTCTTCCTGGAAGCCCAAGCCTCTGCTAGCCATGCCCAGGATTTCTTTAAACTAACCAATGACAATCAAGGGACATGCATGCCATAGATATGACCACATCCTGTGTAACAAGACCCGACTTGCACCTGGCCAATTGGCAGGGCCCACAGTCATCTCTCCTCCCCTCACTCCAACCCCCCTATTAAACTCCTCTTCCCTTGTCTCGCCCCTGTGTCGGTAGAGGCTGGGAGCCAGACCGGGTTTGTAGAAATAAAGACTCGCTGCTTTTGCATTGGATTCGGCTGGCTCCCTGTTGGTCTATTGGGGATCTTGAAATATGGGCATAACACTACACATACTTCTGTAGATGGGGAACCAGATCACAGTGCCTTGAAAGTCTCCTTTTCTTTCAGGCAACAAACTTCAACTGGGAGAAATTTGAGTCAGAATCCCTCAAGAAAAAAGGCTAATCTTTTTTTGAAACATAGCCTGGCCCCACTATAGAGTGGACAGTTGAGATCTTGGCCAGTTAATGGCATCATAAAGTTAAATGTTACCCTGCAGCTAGACTTGTTTTCCCATTCCCAGGGAAGTGAAAGAGAATGAGATGGGGCAAGGCGGGGGAGGGGTGGGGGGGTTGTTCAAAGGGCGGGTGCCTCCAGGACTAGATGTTTCAGCCACAAGTTTGTAATCTTTCCATAGTGATAGTGTGAGAAATGCTCACCTATCTGAATTCAAATAATGGACTCACAGAAAGAAGTATGGTGAAAAGGAGTCTTTAATATATTCTTGTAAGAGTAGGTGTCCATCTGAGTGAAAGGCACATATGGAGTAGGGATCACACGCTGTTTACCCCTAAGGTTTGAGAGACCCTCCTGTTCCACATTGGCTGAATACTATGGATTTAATTGTTTCCTCATACATCACCTAGGTCTTACTGTCTCCCACTGGGCCATTTAAAAAAATTGGCTGAGGTCTTTTCTAGTTGTCACAATCTCCCCCTGAGACCTGGCATGAAGCGTTTCATCTTGGGTGTCTTGGGAGTTTCCACTGTGATGCTAGTTTAGATACACAGTTCTTTGTTCATATATATCGGATTCCCTCCTCCCTACATTTTGTTCACCCTGTTGAAATTTAGTAACTGTTTCCATTAAAAGTTGACTTTGTTGAGGATGGATCACAGAGGCCTATTTCATACAAATTCTTTTCTCTTCTTTTTGCACTAATTGATCACTTCTTCATTAGCTGTTCTAAAACCTGTTGGCTTTTCTAGAGGATGAGAGAGGGAGAGAGTCTACACAGGTTCTTCCACTGCCACTTCAGAGCAGCTGGAGTGGTGAGAAGCACATCTCAGGGTTCCAACCATTTCTCCTCCTGTTGGCCCATTGTCCTTGCTCTGCTCATGTATGTCTAACTACCTACCACAACCCCTCAAGAGTCTTGGCTCTGAATTGTTTCAGGAAAAAGGGCCTTAATATCATTTCTGAAAATATGTCCATGCTGAGGAGGATATATATCTTTTCTTTTAGAGCCAAGAAATCCTTGCTCTCTATCAGAGGGAAATGAGGCCTAGATACAGAAGGAGGTAGCTAGAGGCAGTGTTCCCTGGTTACAAATAGGGCTTGTAAACTGGTAGAGACAAACTGTTATAAAACTTCAAAAGTCAGAACAAGAATTCTGACAAATGGTCTGGTGGAAGTGAAAAAAAATAATCCACGCAACCCTCCCTCCCCCACCCCCGAAACATTTCAGTTCTAATAATTCCCCATTGAAATTTTTTTTTTCTCACAAAAACCATCCTCATTTTTTTATAGATGTTTCTCCCCTTCCTTCCTCCCTTCCACTCTCTCTAAAAATCAATGGGGGAAAAAATAATCTTAGATGAAGATGAACAAGAACAACAAAAATTATTGAAGTCATAAAGCAAGTAATCAAAATAATGAGATATGAATGGGAAACAATAAAAAAAGATCACACAGGTGTCATTGATTACAAATGATTATTATATGCTCAATGGATGGGTTAAACAGAAGATTAGTAGTAGCTGAGGTTAGAATTGGGCACTGAAAGATAAATGACAAAATGATAAAAAATGTAGCACAGAAAGATAAAGATGAAAAATGTGTTAAAGAGAAGAGGCATGGTGAACAGAATGAGATGTTCTAACAAATGTCTGAAAAAATTTGGCAGGAGAGGATAGAGAGACTGAGGGGGGATGTAGAAAATTCCCAGTATTTACAAATTTATTCAACAACTATTTATAAACACCTAATTTGTTCCAGGCTCTGTTTTAGGATCTTAAAACAGATAAAGAGATGATGAGGAAAGATTATAGCTGATCATCTTCCAGAACTGACTTTGGACAATAAATCTCACTCCCTTGGCTGGAATTGAAGCCGGGGCCCATCCTCATTTTTATTAAAGAGTCAAAGTAAGACCAATTTCTTTATTGCATCAAATCTAGTTTCAATTTGACGAGTGCACAAACTTTTTTAAAATCTACTTTGATGGAATGTCATGATTTAGTGTCAATGAACCCCTCAGGGTAGAGAAGCCAAGCCACCCAACTGCCATCAAGCCTGCCTGTTAAAATACCTATAGGTATGGGCAAATTCCTCACCAAGATCTGTACCTGCTGTGGCTCCACCTGGGCTCCCATCCACTAGGCTTCAAGGCTCTCTGCAGCAGCCCTCCTACTCATTGAGTCATAAGGTGTGTGAAGAGGGAGGCACTCTCGTTCCTCTCCAACTGACCACCAGCTATGGCCGGGTATGGGTCCAACACTCCAGCGACATCCATTTCAGAGCTACCATTTCAGTCCATGCAAAATACTAGCCTTTCTCCAAGGCATTCTTATTGGCTTCAAGTCTTGGTGATATCCAGAGCCCAGACATGACTCTCTTAAACATGAGAGTTCAGTCAAAGTCTTGATTAATAAAACCACCATTGGAAACTAGTCTTATTGAACTCATGCAAAAAAAAACATATTACCACGATTCACTTATTAAAAATTGCCAAATTATTGAGGGATCTAATAAAAAGTAAAATATACAATTTACCAAATTTTTTTTAAGAAAACAAGGTTTCTAATATCCGAAAAACAAAATGAGCAAGAATCAGCAATACTTTCAACAAAAGTTATAAAAAATATGTAATTATTTTTAGTTCATTCAGTCCCATAATCAATTTTTGTTTCTCCTGATTTCCCCTACTAGTATGTCTATAAATCCAGATACTCTAGGAATTCTAATAATTTTCATCCAGTTTGAATGGGCTGCATTGAAAATGTCATATGCAACGTTTTGGGTTTTTTCCCTCAAATGTATTATAACAAAACAGTGACTATTTTTAAAATGACATGTTATGGATTTGATTATAATGCAAACAACATGCAATTTGTCCCTGAAAAACACAATTCTGGGCAAAAACAGAAAAGATCTTTTACCTTTTAACAGACTAGTGTTAATATAAAAAAAGAATTCAGACCTGTAAAGAATTTTTATGAATTTATTTGAGCCAAACTGTCGACATATGCTGGGAAGCAGAACCTCAATGAATTGAGATAATGCTCCAGAGAATGGAGGTTTACATCTGTATTTATACATTGCAGTCAAAAGAAAGGGATGTAGGTGGGTTACATAAAATCCATTGGTGATAGATTAAGGAGGTGGGATTAAGCAAAACAGGGAAACCTCTGGGAATTGTTAAAAAGTGAAATGATAGATATGTGTTGTTTCTTTTACCAGATGGGTACAGGATAGTTTAACATTATTAACAGTTGATAATTAACTTGATAACAATAACAATGAGGGAATGTCCTGGTGCCATTTGTTTTGCCCTGAAGGGTCTGGGGGCGGGAGTAAAAAGGAAGTTATACCTATAAGTTACCCAGACATCTTGCAGATAATGTTATTTTAGAGGCAAAAAGGTAAATGGGCTCAGTAAGGATCAAAATTGATCTTTGTCAGTGAATGTATCAGCTTAGGACATGACTATCTGATATAACCTGTTTTGTAGTTAAATATTTAATTTTCAGACCATCTTTTGTAGTTATTTTAGATCTCTGAGTTTGCAAGCCTGCCACACAGGCCTCCCCTGAGCTTGTCAGGTTAGCATGTGGCTCCTTTTGTCCACACTAGGAAAAGACTAACCAAAATGAAGTTAATCCTTTTTTTAAATGTAATAAGTTTTACTTTATTATGTTCATATAAATGCAGGCAAAACACCCTCTTTATTGTTACCACAAAAATAATAAAAGTTCAGTAAAATGAAGGACTTTCAACTTTGAGGATATATCTCTGTATTTAAAAAGGTTTCACAATTTTAGCCACAGCATTGCAAACCAAGGCAGGCAGCTTATTTCCTAAAAAAATAATGTTTTATAAAGTTTTGTTTCACAATATAAATGGAAAACAAAACAAAATCCTCTTTATTGTAGGTGCACTTATTCGCCACAGCCCGGAGAATGAATGAAAGAAAATAGGGAGGCCCTATCTATAATGGATATAGAACATATTCCAACAAATAAACAACTCTAATTCTAGGCAAGATACAGAACATAGGCCGACATTGAAAGACAGACAGTGCTTAAATATTTCATCTTTCTGGTAACCACTTAAAACTCATCACTTAAAAGAAGTATCTTGAAATCTGATTAAATTTGAACTTCTTCTTAGTGTCTTCAAGCCAAGTATGTCAAACTCAAAGGCTAACATGGGACAAATAAACAAGGTTTAGGTTTATGTGGGCTGCAAAAAAAAAAAAAGAACAACTTCAATTTTCATAGAAATGTAGGTTTATTTCTATAGACACAGGCTGAATAAAAGAGCTGAAATATAAAATAATAGTATATTTTAATAAAAATTAATATTTTTGCTTGAACATTAAGTTAAAAGACACTGAATAACTGCATAAATTAATAAGCATAACACAAATAACCCTACTTTTCTTGTTCTCCAAAAGCAAAATATTTCTTGTGGCATACACCAAACAAGTCAGTACAAGACTAATAATGTGGCAATTGGCTGCTAAAATATTCGCTGCTAATATTAGTTGACAGAAATCTTGTGCCTGCATGTAAGATGCATAAGGGAAATGAATACAACAAGATTATAGTAATTGGTCATTAGCAAACACTATAATTCATTAATAACTACAGGCCCTGTGCAAGAGATTCATCCATTGAGGGGAGGAGGGTCCCTCAGCCCAGCCTACACTTTCTCACAGTCCGCAGTCCGGGAGCCCTCAGGAGATGTCCGACTGACGGGTTAGGCTGACTCCCTGCCTAAGCTGGCAGGTGGACATCCTTAGCACTGCTGCAGAGGCAGGAGAGGCTCCAGCCACTACTACTTCGCTCACCAGCCTTGAGACGACTTCTAGCTGAGCAGCACTCCCCCTGTGGGAGTGCACTGACAACCAATGGGCAGTTCATGCATTGAGCATCTGTTCCCTGGTGGCTAGTGCACATCAT